CGTGAGCAGCACCGTAGGGAACGTGGAATGTGCGAGGCGCGCGCGTGCCGAAATGCGCGCTTTGACGCCATGCGAGCGCATCCACTGAGGCCGTGTGTGGAACCTCCCTGGGGGGCAGGATGCACGTGAGGGGTGTGCCGACATGGGAGCGGGGGCGCCATGCGAACGCACCCATTTGGGCCGTGTGTGGGACCTCCTTGGGGGGCAGGGAACGTGCGAGGGGTGTGCCGAAATGCGCGCGGGGACGCCATGCGAACGCACCCACTGGGGCCATCGGTGGAACCTCCCCGAGGGCCCCAAGACGGCCCAGGAGGGTCCCAAGACGGCCTAGGGGCCCCCTAAGACGGCCTAGGCAGGCCCACGAGGGCCCCAAGAGTGGCCCAAAAGGTCGAATCTAACTAATATGTCGAGCCATTCCCCGCAACATGGCCCCAATAGTCACCCAGAGGCCCCCAAGGCGCCCCCAGGAGGCCCCAAGAGGTCTCCAAGAGGGCTCCACCAAAGAGCCCCCAAGAGCCTCCCAAGACGCCCTAAAACCGCCCCCCAGATGCCACAAAGAGCCCTCCAAGATGCGCCCGAGAAGCATCCCAAGAGCCCCTCACATATCCTTATATGCATCCCAGTGGCTCCTGAACCACCAAACAACTTCCACGATCGCCGCCAGTTCTCGCTCCTTCTGCGGGTCGGCGGAATGGCGCACGCCACTTGAATACAACATAGATTGCACCGCATAGATTGCGCACTACCTGGATCGCACAACACAGGTCGCACCACATTCATTGTTCCACAGAGATTCCACCACTTAGTCTGCAACGCGTCGGTTGCACAACCTTGATTGTATAGCATATACTACACCACAAATCCTGTAGCACATTAATTTAGTAACATATGTTGCACAGCTTGGTTCCGACCTCATGGGTTGAATCGCGCATATCGCACCACGTACAGTCCACAACCTAGATTGTACCACATAGCTTGCCCCACATTTATTTAGCAACATGTGCTGCACAACAGTTACTGCTCCACATAGACTGCACACCATAATTTGCACAACACGGAATGCACAGCATGTATTGCACAACGTCGATTGTTTCAGACATGTTGCACAACATGGATCGCACCACATACAAAGCACGAAATACATTGCGCACCATAGTTTGGTCACCATCGATTGCGCCACGGAGATTGCACCACATGCGTTGCACACCATATATGGCACAACATTTATTGCACCACGTAGATTGCGCCACATGTATAGCTCCACAGTGATTGGACAACATCTGTATGTATGTGTGTATATATATATATATGGTCGCCCCCCCCCCCCCCCCCCCCCCCCCAAGATCCCCATGTTGCTTCCTCCTCCTCCCCTCCTCCTCCTCCTCCCTTTTCCTTTCAGCTTCCTCCTCCTTCCCTCGTTTTCCTCCTCTTCCGCAGGCGGAACGTTTTTTTTCATTTTTTGTTCCTCCTCCCGCCCTCGGAGGCAATGTTGTTTTCTTCTTTTTCCATGTGAAAACACAGGTTTTTCCCTATTTTTCCTTTTTTTTCTTTCCATGTTTTTCGGTCTCCCCCCTGGGGCGGCGGAAAAATCTGGAGGGCCCGAACGAGGCAGGGAAAAGAGGAAAAAAAACAAAATCTGAAAAAAAACCTGTGTTTTCATAAGGAAAAAGAAAAAAAATCTCCGCGCCCCAAGGCCGGAGGAGGAAAAACAGGACAAATCCGTCCCTCCCTGTTCCTCCTCGTCGTCCTCCTCCTCCTCCTCCTCCTCCCCGTCGTCGTCGTCGTCCTCCTCCTCCTCTCCTCCGTCCATCTCCCTTTCCTCCTCTTCCGCAGGCGGAAAGTTTTTTCCTTTTTTTCCTCCTCCCGCCCTCGGAGGCAGAGTTTGTTTTCCTTTTTCCCTGTGAAAACACAGGTTTTTCCTTATGTTTCCTGTTTTTCCCCTTTTCCCTGCCTCGTTCGGTCCTCCGAATTTCTCCGCCGTCCCAGGGGAAAGACCGAAAAAGAGGAAAACATGAAAAATAAGGAAAAATTGTGTTTTCACATGGAAAAAAAGAAAAAACTCTGCCTCCGAAAGCGGGAGGAGGAAAAAAAGAAAAAAATAAAGAAAGAAAAAAAAAAAAAAAAAAAAAAAAAAAAAAAAAAAAAAAAAAAAAAAAAAAAACCGCCAGCGGAAGAGGAGGAACACAAGGGAGGGAGGAGGGGGAGGAGAAGGAGGAGGAAAAGCGGCAGAGCAGGGGAGCGTGGAGGAGAAGAGGGATTTTTTTTTTTTTTTTTTTTTTTTTTTTTTTTTTTTTTTTTTTTTTTTTTTTTTTTTTTTTTTTTTTTTTTTTTTTTTTTTTTTTTTTTTTTTTTTTTTTCAATCGCTTCGGCGAGTTCGAGAACGAACAAAGCAGCTGCAGGCTGGGTCGGAACCCCCAACGTGCAACAAGGACGAACCATATCGAATGGCTGAAATACACCCCTCGTGGAATCTGCATGGCACCTCTTGGACATCTACATAGCATAGTCAGCAGCATGAACACGAACGGGCTCATATAATGTTGCGCGGCCTCCAGCCGCTAACGCCTTCCACTATGTACACGTAAGTCCAAAGAGACAGTTATCCGAATATGCCGTTGGCCCGCGCATCGCTCACAGCCGACCTACTTACGCATCGTCACCATCGATCGTCACCACAGACATCGACAAGCCCCACTTGTCAGCGACGGTTTTCACCGCCGCGCGGAGGTCGCCCATGGCATCCTCGGGCATCAAGAACACAGCGCCATCAAACATGTAAGTGTTGACGGTCACGCCGTCCACAGAGGTCACCTCCGTCTCTAAGTCAGACAAGATGGAATCCTCCACAGAGCTCAAGGCGTAGTGAAGCTTGGATGCGGCGGGGCAGCGGCGGTTCTCGAAACGACCGTCCAAGTACCTGAATTTCTCGCGCGACAGAAGCATATCCACAGCTTTGTGCATGTCGACGGCGAGGTTCCACCGAAACGGGAGATCGCACGCCAGCTTCCCCAAATGCACGATTTTGATGAGAAGTTTCTTCGCCTCTTTCGCTGTCGCGTGCATGTGGGCCGCGAGGAACGCGCTCCACTTCTTGTAGTTCGCAGCAAACGCCGCGAGGGTGGGCAAGTCTTCATCAATATTGCAATCCTGCGAGAGCTCTCTCACCAAGAGGGCCACGAAGCAGTTGTCGATGTCAACCTCGGCGAAAACCTTCCCAACGGAGAACCGAGACTTCCGCCCGACGAGACACCCCGCGGCGGAAAATGGTTAAAACGCAACCTTCCCGAGTTTTTCGAAAACTGCGCGAGCGCGCCCCGCTTGGGGCGCAGCAAGCAATCCAGGAAAGCAGACAAAGAGTGGGGCGCGATGTCTTGGTCCCCCGCATTTCCTTTCCACCCTGGAAAATGCTCCGAGCCGCCCTCGCTCTTTGAGCTGTCCTCCGAGCCCTTGCCCTCGCCCTCGGTGTCCTCCGAGCCCTTGTCCTCGGCCCCCTCGGTGTCCTCCGAGCCCTTGTCCTCGTCCTCCGAGGTGTTCTCAGAGTCGCTGTCCTTGTCCTTCGAGCTCTCCTCGCCCTCCTCCTCCTCGTCCTCGCCCTCGTCCTTCTTCGAGCCGTCGTTCTCGCCACCCTCATTGTCGCCCTTGCCGCCCTCGTCGTCGCCCTCGCCGCCCACGGCGCCGTCCATGAGTGCCAGGGCGGGGGGCGCCTCGCGTGCAGGGGGGCCGTCAGGGGCCTTTCCCTTTTGCCTGCGCTTGTTGAGCCAGGCGACGAGCTTGTTCTGGGCTGCTTCACTCCATTGGCCTTCCTGGCGGCGCTGCATTCCGCAAGACGCCTGTATGTAATTCATCTGGTTGTTCACCTCCTTCAGTAAGAGGTCGGTCTTCGACGGGCGCACGGTCAAGCGCCCTGCGTTCACGTCACCAATAACATCCACAGCGCGCGGGCGGACGCGGTCCGCGATCGGCACGGGGGCAACGGGCGGCCCCGAAGGGGCAGCCGGCTCCAAGAGGCGGATGATGTCAGCAGCTGCCGAGCCCGAGGGTTCTGACGGATTGCCAACGCTCAAATCCAGGCGCGCCCGTTTACCATCACGGGTCAACACAACACGGCCAGATACCGCAATCGAGGTGTTCATACCTGCTGTAAGACTTCGACACAAATCTTCGGATCAGCCCGCGCGGGGGCAACTTGAGCCGATGATGGCTACGGACAGGGTGGGGCGAGTAGGAGGAGGGGGGGGAGAAGTTGAAGGCGGAGGAGGAGTAGGAAAAGGGGAATCGCCTGGAGCCATGAGGAAATCCGCGGCCCCAGAGGTCCACACCCTTTTCCTTGGGATGGTTTTTCGCTCTGGGTCGTTTTTGATGGTTCTGGGGCCCGAAAACGGTCCCTGGACACCGAAACGGATTGGCGGAAGGGCACCGAGTGTGCTTCCCCTCTCTAGGAGGAGGGAAGGGAGGAGGGAGGAAGGAGAGGTGGATTAAACCGCCGAGCCCTGGATTAATCCAGGAAGTACAGAAACAGAAAGATAGGACAGGGATGAGAACGAGGAGGAGGAGGAGGAAGACCAGAGAGATATGAATAGAGCAAAAGGAGGAGAAAGTATGAGGGGAGAGGATGGGGGAGGAAAGGAGGAGGATGAGAAAGAGGAGGAGGACGAAGAGAGGAAAGCAGAACAGAGCACGGAAAATAGGGATCTTGGGGGGGGGGGGTGAGCATATATATATGTATACATATACATATATACATATATATATATAGCACCTCGCATTTTGCACCACTTGTACTGCACAATACAGGTTGTAGAACATAGGTTGCACCACGTACACTGTACCACGCAGATTGCGCCTCATCGATTGCACAACATCGATTTCTAGAAACACACTGTCTGGAGTCCAGGCTGGCGAACATACCCAATCTCTGTGTATATATACATATATATATATACATACATGTATGAGTCTATGGATGAGTATATAATGAAGCATTGACGTCACGATGCTGTTGTGCGATGCGCAGACCTCAGGGGGAGAAAGGCGTCGCGGATGAGGACGGGGAGACGGAGCTATGCCCTCCGCACAGGGTCCGTCGACGGCCAGCCGCCCCGCCCCAATCCGACGGTCCAGCTCGCTCGGACCCGACACACCATCGGAGTCGGGCCCGAGCGCGGCTACTCTCAGCGCCAGCCTGACGGGTGCCCAATGGACGGGAAGCTCAATCAAGGCAGGAGGTCGGGTGCGCCGAGGGGCATTAGCGCATCATTAGAAGACGAATAAATAGCGTATACATCAAATTTTGACGCTCCGCACGCATTTCTTGGATCTGCGCTGGACCCGTCGCCAGGGGCGGCGCCAGAGACGCCGCTGGGGGGGCCCGGCGTGGATCCAAGAAATCCGCGCGGGGCGCCACAAGTTTATGTTTATCCTGATTTTCTTCTTCGCATCATGTCCCGAAGGTTTTGCGCGGACGAGGGGGGGGCCAGGGGGCGTGCAAAAAAACAAAAAAGAACATGAAGTGCGGCCTTCAATCTAGAAGGCACCATGGCCCCGGCTATCACATACCGCACGCCCCGGGTCCTCTTCCCCCTCTTGTCCTCTACCTGCGCATTTCCTGCCGCTCTCGTCTCACACTTCGACATGCGCGCTGCCGCCGGGGAGACATGCGACGCGGGCTCGGGAGACTCGGGTGGGCCTGACGGGGCCGTCATGAACATGACGAGAGCGTCCGAACTTTGACGCGAACTCCCACGGCAAACATCCCATGAGAACGGGACCGTCGCTGATCATGAAGGGCCCGTCAGAAAACACAGGCAAACCCGGGCTACGGTTCACTCGAGCCTTACGTGGGACGCGCAGAGACATACTCATACTATCTGTCCTCCTTGGAGGCGCGTGTCCGACCCGAACATATAACTAGTAAACTAGTCATAACTAGTAGACCCATCTTTCAGTAGATCGTTTCCCAAGCGGTGCGGCCAAAGATCGCCCGACACGACGCATATACTAGAAGATTTCTCGGTGCGCGCGTCGCCCCTGCGGGGGCGACGCACGGATAGTTATAGTATGTGAGCAGGGACCGACCGTCCCGGCAATCCTACAGGCCTACCACGACATGTTCTTAGAATCCATAATTTGTTACGAATAAAACATGTTCTCATAACATAAGCCCGATGTGCTACAACAAAACAATATCAACCAAGCATGTTCTAAGAACAAGTCGTGCAGACCACAGAAAAAGCTATTAGAATATGTTTTGGTGGGCCTATAAGCACGCCTGGACGCCTCGCCACTGCTTGACATCGGGCGGGGAGAGGAAGAGGAAGAGGAGGAGGAGGAGGAGGAGACGAGGAGGAGGAGGAGAACTAATATTAGCATTCGCATTCGTACGGGTATTAATATCAAATTGGGGCGGCGCGCACATAATATTAGCACGTTGGGGCAACGCCGATTACGCTCCCCCGATCCTGGCCACCCGTCTCGCTTGCGCTGATGCTCCAGAGCGCCGGCGCTAACCGACATAAGACACAAGCGCGCCAGAAAAACGGGCGCGCCGGGCCGACGGGCGATGGTGAGCTTGTTGTCCACCACCACCACCACCACCATAAGTAGGAGGGGGAAGCAGTCCTCTTCCTCCTCCTCCTCCTCCTCCTCTTCCTCCTCTTCCATCTCCTCCTCCTCCTCCTCCTCGTCCTCCTCCTCCTCCTCCCCCGCCTCGTCCTCCTCCTCCTCCTCCTCGTTCTCCTCCTCCTCAACCTCCTTCCCCCTCCACCTTATGGTGGTGGCGGTGGTGGAAAACAAACGCGTGCTCCAGCGCGGGCGCCGACAGCACCAGCGTGCCGGCGAAACGGGCGCGCCGGGCCGCCTGGCGAGGCACGGGGCGCCGGGCGGGGCGCCAGGCGGCCGACGGCGAGAGCACTCGGCAGCTCGAGCCAGCCTCCGCGGACAGGCGCAGAAACTGGGTGCGCTCGCGGGGCAGCCTACGGCCAGAGAGGGAAAAACCCTGAGATCCTGGCGACTCATTTTTTTCGAACCGGGCGTTTTCGTTCCACTTCGGGCCCCGTGACCCTCACAGATCGATCCAGCTTGAAAAATGACACAGAAAAAGGGAGTCCAGGGGTCAGGTCGTGATTTTTGCGATGTTGTTGTTTTTTTGTCCAACGCTGGATCTCAGGGAGGGGGCCTCCCTTCCCCAGAGATCCGACGTTCCAGAACAATTGGGGCGGCGGGATTTGGCCAGTTTTCGGCCTCCGCGGGACCGTCGCCAGGCATCGGGGGCGTCAAACACATCATTCTGCAGGGTGAACAAAAACCGACCCCAAGGAAGTAGTCTGGACCTCCGGGGCCCACGCATCGAAAAAATTACAGCAGCTGGATGTCTGGGTCTTTCCTCCGGCTCTAAACTCAGCGCTCCTGGCCGACTTCGTCGGAAGGGGGCCAGCACCAGCGGGAACTGGACGCACCAGCACGTCTGAAGCGGGGGGAGCAACAGCGGGGACCAAGCGATGCCAAGTGATCCTGGCACGAGGTGGCCCCCGCTGAGCGCGCCTCTCTGGAGCTCGCCAGGGACCCCCTGGGCATCGTCGGAAAAATTCCCCTGGAGCCGTGCGTAACCCGGCTCGACCGTGTCCCTGTCCCTGAGATCGGCGAGCCAAAAGGCCATGACAATCTCAGGGATGCGACCTCGGAAGCGGAGGGAATCCCGAAGATCGGCATCGAGATAAGACGCTGGTGAGCGTTTCCTTATTCGGCGTTTCGACATTGGGCGGAGGGGGGGGAGGGGGGGGGGTCTGGCTCTGGACGTCCGTTTACTGCGACTGTTTGAAATCGTGCGCAATGAAAGCAAACAATTAGATCAGCTATTTGGGGCGGACGATTAAACAAATAGTTTCGCGGGCCTTTGCGCCGCCGCAATGGCGGGGGGGCGGGGCAGGCACACGGAGGGCAGACAACCCTGGGTTGTCTGGAAGCCTGGGGCGGGCGCGGACTGACAATTCAGGGCGGGGGGGCGGGGGGTCAATTCGGGGCCGGGCAAGCAGAAGCTGGGAAGGACTTCGCGGGTTGACGACTCGAATCCTCAGGGGCGGAGGAAGTAGCAATTTCTGGTCCGCCAATCCTGCGCGGAAGGCAGACATTCTGCGCTGCCTTCAGACAACGACCTCCTTCCCCACCTCCTCTTCCGCTTTTCTTCCCCGTCCTCTTCCTCCTCCTCCTTCTCCTTCCCCTCGCTGTTCTATCCCTTGTCACCTTCCCCCTGCAAGTTCTGGTTCCTCTACAGTTACTCCATATGAGCACTATTTCCTTTTCTCCCCTGACGCACTCCGGATGATTGCCTGCACCCCTCCGCGCAATGTGTTTTCATTACGCACAAGTCCGGCGCGAATCCGTTTCTCATATTTGGTGATTCGATCGGAACGTGTTCGGCTCGTCCAAAATGTTGTTCCCGCTGAAACGCTGGCCTCATGCTTGAGCTTCCGCTCGGTTCGAATCCTCCCGCGCGCTGTGTTTTTACTTAGAAAAGTGGGGGAATGCGTTGTTCATATCTGTTGTTCAATCCGAACTTGTTCGGGTCTTCCGACATTTCAAGCTCCATTTTGATCCCGCGGCAACGTTGGCCTCATTTTCAAGCTCCAACCGCAGTCCGCGAGGACGACAGCTGGGCCGTCATCAGGTTGGTTCTAAAGACGGGAATGAGAAAACAACATAAACATAAACTTTCGGCGGTCCTCCGTGGATTTCCTGGATCTGCGCTGGGACTCCCCAGCGGCGCTTCCGGCGCCCCCTCTCCGCAATCCTCCTCCCGCGGCCGCGGGTGATCAAACGAACGCAGGAGGACGAATGGAACATCAATTTCCGCAAGGCGGCAAACCAAAACGCTGGGGGGGTAGACGATAAAGAAAGCAGTCTCCGACGGCTGCATTCTATTAGTCTGCCCCATTCGTTCATTTTGGGGCCCCCAGGGCGGGGGGGATGCATTTTCTTAATCGTTTGCCCCCAGAGACCCCACCTGCTTAAAACGGGCGCCGAAAAACCGCCAAGATCCACTCCATGGGGGGGGGGGCCACGCATGCGCCGGTGCTGCTCTCCACGCGTGCGGCCCAGCAGACAGCCTCGTCTAGGAGGCGACTACATGGGCGAATTGCACGCATTTGCCCGGGAGCCTCTCCATCTTGGTCTCCCCAGTATCAGCTGGTCATGCACCGCGCACGCTGTCCCCCCAGGCTTGCGCCACCTGACTGCGGAGGGGGGGTGTGCGAGGGCCCGCGCCGATCGGCAAAGCAAAGAATAACAAAAACGATCACCATAGGGATATAAGGATACGTTTCAGGCTGGCGGGTGCGGGCCTTCCGGGAACAATGCGGGCACCGTTCTTGGGGCGACGGCGGGGGCGACTGGCCCGGGTGAGAGCACTGCGTGTATCCAGGGGCGCCGATGGTCCATGCATTCGGCGAGGCTCCCCGGCGTCTACGTTGTACGTCTCCTCACCCCAAGTATTCCCTGAAAGGTTTCCACGACAATTGGAGGAACACATGGCCCGATGCCTTGGCAGAGCTTTTGCCGCGACGCTCGGCCACGCGGGCGATTCTAGAAGGAGGGGGGCGGCGGTGATTCGCCGTAGGCGTCTCCGATCCGCCGCCCCCTGTTGGCTTGCCACAGGGGTGCCCGGCGTGCTGAACCCTTTCGCTTTCGGTTCTTGTAGAAAATTCCCTGGGGCTTCGGCCCGTCCCGCCAGCCACCCGCAAGGTCCGGAAACCACCGCAAACCACCCGAACGTCCATAAAAAAAATCCAAGACGCTTCAAGATGGCCTCTAAGATGGTCAGGTTGGTCCAAGATGGACTCCAAGATGGCCCAAGATGGTCCAAATTGTCCTCCAAGACGGCCCAAGAGAGTCCAAGATGCCTTCAAGTTCGTCCAAGAAGCCTCCAAGACGGCCCACGATCACTCTAAGATGGCCTAAGATTGCCCAAGAGGTCCCCAAGAGGCCTCCAAGAGCTCCTCTAGGAAGGTTCCAAAGGGTCAAAATAATTGGTTAGACCTCAGGTTCTTGACAGATGTTCGCTTTTTTGTTATTTTCAGCTCCCTGACGGCCCAAGACGGCCCAAAGGGTCCCCAACATCGCCCCAAGAGCGCCCAAGAGGCCTCCAAGATGGCCCCATGACAGCCCAAGAGGCCCCAAAGAGGGCCCCAAGAAGGCACCAAGACGGCACATGAGGCCCCAAAGACGTCCAAGGTCGCCTCCAAGACGGCAAGGATGGTCTCCAAGATGTCTCCAAGACGGCCAAGATGGCGTCCAAGACGACTAAGATGGCCCCAAGATGCACCCAAGATGGCCCAAGATGGCCTCAAGACGGCCTAAGACGGGCCAAATGCCCGCAAGAGGCCTCCAAGACGGGTACAGTCAGCCCGTATAAGAATGAGGACGCACGATAAGGACACAAGCGCCCTGGAGGGTCATGTCGACACCCCGCGGGCAAGTCGCGGCCAGCGAAAGCGGCCAAGGATGGGCCGACAGGATGGATGCAAAGGTAGCCTGGGAAAGTCGTTCATCCCTACTATGCGGGTTGACTATGCGCAGAAAGCATCCATACACCACCACCGTGCCCGGCCAGAGCCATCCCAGGCCCTGGAATTGTGAGAGGAACAATACATGACATATGTATGTAAGGTTCGCTCGGAGTTCTTGGATCCGCGCAGGACCCCCCCTCTCTGGCGCGCGGGGCGGGCCAAGGGCAGCGCTGGAGGGGCCGCCAAGGGGTCCCAGCGCAGATCCAAGACACCCTCGCGGACCGCCAAAAGTTTATGTTTTTGTTTTCCCAGCAATCATGCGGTGTTGGGTACTCGTGCTGAAGGGACAGCGCCACCCGTTCTCACTCCTCCCGCTGCCCCGTCCCTTCTCCCCTCATCATCATCATCATCATCATCATCATCATCATCATCATCATCATCACCACCATCAGCATCATAATCATCATCATAACCATCATATTCAGCAGCATCGTCATCGTCATCGTCATCGTCATCATCATCATCATCATCATCAGCATCATCATCATCATCATCATCATCATCATCAACATCATCATGATCATCACACGTTTCTTCACACCCCTCACACATTTCGTGGCCTCATAGGGAGCCACACCGAAGGTCCAAATGTAAGCGTTCGCATGCGCCCACCGCACCCATTGTTCCACGCCCCTCAAACGCTTCGTGGCCCCGTAGGGAGCCCCACCGACGGCCCAAATGCAAGCGTCCGCATGCGCCCACCGCATCAATTTTTCCACGCCCCTCAAACGCTTCGTGGCCCCATAGGGAGCCCCACCGATGGCCCAAATGCCAGCGTTCGCATGCGCCCACCGCCTTCATTTTAGCACACCCATGACACGTTTCGCGGCCCAATAGGGAGCCCCATCGAAGGCCAAATGCAAGCGTTCGCGTGCGCCCACCGCATCCATTTCGGCACACGCATGCGCCCACCGCACCCATTGTGGCACGCCCCTCCCACGCTCCGTGGCCCCATAGGGAGCCCCACCGAAGGCCCAAGTGGCTGCGCTCGCACGCGCCCACCGCAGTCATGCTGGCACATCCCTCACCCGCCTCGTGGCCCCATAGGGAGCGCCACTGAAGGTCCAAATGCCAGCGTTCGCATGTGCCAGCCGCAGTCATTTTGGCACACCCCTTACACGTTTCGCGGCCGAATAGGGAGCTCCACCGAAGACCCACATGCAAGCGTTCGCATGCGCCCACCGCACCCATTTTGGCATACCCCTCACGAACTTCGTGGCCCCACAATGAGCCCTACCAGAGGCCCAAATGCAAGCGTTTGCATGCGCCCACCGCAATCATTTCGGCACACCCCTCACACGCTCCGTGGCCCCATAGGGAGCGCCACATAGGGAGCGTCACCGAAGGCCCACATGCCAGCGTTCGCATGTGCCCGCCGTAACCATTGTGGCACGCCCCTCACACGCTTCGTGGCCCCACAATGAGCCCCACCGAAAGCCCAACTGCGACCGTTTGCATGCGCCCACCGCGCTCATTTTGGCACACCCCACAACACATTGCGTGGCCCCATAGGGCGCCACACCGACGGCCCAAATGCCAGCGTTTGCATGCGCCCACCGCACCCATTGTGGCACGCCCCTCATACGTTTCGTGGCCCCACAGGTAGCCCCACCAAAGGCCCAAATACCAGCGTTCGAACGAGCGCACCGCACCCATTTTGGCACACCCCTCACACGCTTCGCGGCCTCACAGGGATCCTCACCGAATGCAGTGCATACAACGGCTGTACACACAACCTCATATGATTGGGTTCTTCGCCAGGCTAAGTTGTTGGTCTTCGAACCACCGTGCCTGGCTAGAGCCATCCCAGGCCATGGCATGGTGTGTAGTCCTTATTATGCGGGTTGGCAGTAATGCCCGCCCCTTGGCTGTTCGCCCCCATCGTTAGAGGCCTCCCAGATGGGGTCCGAATAGATGGGGTCGGAGGATCTCGCCGCATCGCCGATACATCGGCGGTGCATCGGCGATGCATCGGCCATGCGTCGGCCATGCATCCGCCATGTACTGGCGACGTCGGCGATGCATCGGCGACGTCGGCGTGGAGAAAATTGGGCCCCACACCGAGCAGCATCGGCGATGCATCGCCGATGCATCGGCGATGCGGCGCGACCCTCCGGCCCCATCTGCTCCGACACCATCTGGGAGGCCTACATTGTCGCCTCCGAGCCCCTCTGGGCGGACGACCGGGGGGTGGGGATACATCGCAAGGGGGGTGGCGAATCAGCTCACGCCGCCGACATTCCCTGCGCCTCCCCGCGGCGTGCAGTGGAGGCCAGTCCACAAGAAAGCTTCCACAAGAAACCCAACCCTGAGACCCCAGGGCGTCCATTGATTTTTGGTGTGGGGACGTCACGCGTTCCATGGCAAAACCATCCAGACCCAGGAAGCCCAGGGAACCCTGGAGGCAAGAAGGGTCTTTCTTGGCATGTCTCCACTGTAGGCGACGGACCAACAACACACACCCATATCCACGGGGGGGTCAGAGGGGGCTACTCGGACGCCCATTCCTCGTGTATGTTTCGATGTCGTGCGCGTTTTTTGCTCAGGATGATCCAAGATGTTCCTCCATGGTCCTCGCCGAAGTAAAACATGAACATGCCAGCGATGCCAAGGCTACGGGTGCGCGTTGTCGGATGAGGATCCCCGCTTGAACGGGACCTCCCCCCAGGGTCCGACATCGCGCACACATAGTAAGAAAGACGAAGCCAGGACGAGGAATACATGAGCCTGTCGAAGAGCCCAACCATACGCAGTGGGTAGCGACCGCTGGCATTTGGGGCGCTCCCTATGGGGCCACCAAGCGTGTGAGGGGTGTGTCAAAATGGGCGCGGTGGGCGCATGCGAACGCGGGCATGTGGGCCTTCGGTGGGGCTCACTGTGGGCCACGAAACGTGTGAGGGGTGTGCCGAAGAAGACGCGGTGGTGCCATGCGAACGCTGGCAGTTGAGCCGTCGGTTGGGCTCCTCATGGGGCCGCGAAAAGTGCGAGGGGTGTGCTTCAATGGGTGTGGTGGTGCCATGCGAGCGCAGCCACTTGGGCCTTCGGTGGGGCTCCCTATGGGGCCACCAAACGTGCGAGGGGTGTGCGAAAATGGGTGCGGTGGGCGCATGAGGACGCAGCCACTTGGGGCCTTCGGTGGGGCTCCCTATGGGAGTGACTACGAAACGAGTGAGGGGCGTGCCGAAATGAGCGCGGTGGTGCCATGCGAACGCAGCCACTTGGGCCTTGAATGGGCTCCCCATGGGGCTACGAAACGTGTGAGGGGCCTGCCGAAACGGGTGCGGTGGTGCCATACGAACGCAACCCCCTGAACCTTCGGTGGAGCTCACTATGGGGCCACGAACCGTGAGGGGTGTGCCGAAATGAGGGCGGTGGCGCCATGCGAACGCAGCCATTTGTGCCTTCGGTGGAGCTCCCCATGGGACCACGAAACGTGTGAGTCGTGTGTCGCCATGGGCGCGGTGGTGCCATGCGAACGCAGCCACTTGGGCCTTCAGTGGGGCTCCTCATGGGGCCGCGAAACGTGTGAGGGGTGTCCTTAAATGGGTGCGGTGGTGCCATGCGAACGCAGCCACTTGGGCCTTCGGTGGAGCTCCCCATGGGGCCACGAAACGCTTAAGGGTGTGCCGAAGTGGACATGCGGATGTCAGAGGCACGGAATTAGGGGGAGGAGGAAGGAAGTCCAAGGAGAGGAGTCGCAGGGTGCTGTCTCTTCAAAACGAGAACCCAACACAGGATGGATGGTAATTGGATGAGGATAAGGAGCGGAGATCTCTGAGACCTCGCGGCTCTGGAGGATAACTCGGGCGCCGCGGCCTATTCAGAGCACTCCGGAACGCTCTGAGAGCTTTCTGGGACGCTCTGGAAAGGACTTATCCTCATCCTAGCCCCGTCCGACATGCCCTCCTGACGACCCCCCTGTGGACATGAGTGTGTGTTGCTCGTTCGCCAGTAGGAACCAACATGTTTAGAGGAAAGCGCCCGGCGGCGGGAGCGAAGCCAGCTGCGTGCTGCACGCAGGAGATTTCGCTCCCCCTGAGGAGAAACGGTACAGTCTCGGCACTGCCAGAGGGAACGCTAAACAGGGCAGGGCTGGACTTACAAGTTGTCGTGCGTTTTGGTTTCGTCATGTTGTTTGTTTTGCTCTACCTGTTTGCCTGCACCTCCCTGCCAAACCGAAATACAATACCTAGCCGAAGTCCAACAAAATAGCGTGTAGGCCTAGCCCTGGTACAGCCTCGGCACTGCCCGAGGGAGCCCTCAACAGGGAACGAAGGGGCCTTCCTGGCCCCGGCCGGCCATGTCCACGTACAGGTTCCCTGACCTGGACCTGGGGAGCCCCTCCCGAGCCCAAAGTGGTCCTTCTGTCAGCGCCTTGACTGCAAGGAGGGCCAGCTCAGTTCGGGGGCGGCCAAGAGGGGGGCGGGGGCGCAGATTATGGCCGGCGGCATGTGCGCAGCCCCTGGGGGGGAGCCAGGGACGTAATGAAACAAGAAGAGGCGCCATGAAATCTGGGGGATATCATGGCCCCCGCCACGATATCCCCCGCTCCCCTAGTCATCACCCCCCTCTTGGCCGCCCCCGGTCAGTGGGGGAGGGGGGGGCATCAACATGGAATCGGCGATACGTCACCGATGCGTCGTCGATGGGCCCTCCGATAGCCCATGCGTACGGTCCTGGCCAGGGTGTCCTGTCAGGCTCCTGTCGGCGATGAAGTGGGCGACTGGGCGCCGATGCGTCGAACATTGCCCGTGCCCCCTCCCCGCCCTTCCCAGACCCCTCTTTTCGTCCGACCCGAGCCCTTAGCCAGGGACGCCCGTGGCGACACCGCGTCGAGTAAGGACAGAAAAAAGGCAGCCGGCACCTCCACGACCCAAGGACCGCGCGCGCTCGCTCAGGCCAGCGAGGACCAATGCTGGGCCTCTTCTCCACCACCACGACCATAAGTTGGATAGGGGGGACAGAGGAGGACGAGGAGGAGGAGGAGGAGGAGGAGGAGAAGGAGGAGGTGCATGGGGGAGGAGAACGAGGACCCCCCCCCTCTAGCTTGTGGTGGTGGACAACAGGCCCCTCGACCAAGGCTACGCGAGGGAGGATCGGGCGAGCGACCAAGTCGCCACATGCACAGTGAAGCTATCGCAGGTCCCTGACACCCTCGCGCCGTGAAGAGCTCACTTCGGCCGCACGGAGGGCCCCCCTGGCCCCCGCAGCCCCCTTCGGCGTCTACGCGAGCTGCACCGAGGCCTCCTTTTTTCCTGACCGCTCCTTCGGCGACGGCAGCCCGAAGCACCCATTCGGCGACGACGGCGGCGACTTCTCTTCGCCAGCCCCGCGCCCGCCTGCGCTGCCAGGCGTGAGCGGCGACTTGGGGGCCTTTGGCGACTTCGGCGACTTGGAGGCCTTTGGCGACTTTGGCGACTTCGAAGCGCCCGCCTTCGGCGACTTCGAGGCACCCCTCTTGGGCGACCTCGACCCACTCCGCTTGGCCATCTTCGGTGACGAACGGCCTTTTTTGCGCCCCTCGGAAGGCACTCCTGGCCCCACCCACCATGGCAATCCCCGTTTCTCGCACGTGGGGAAGGGGACAAGGACAAGGATAAGGATGATGATAAGGATGGAGAAGGATAAGGATACATATAATTTGCATACGAGGCGAGCCCCAGCCATCTAGCGAGACTAATCTGCCCTTGCGGTATGGGGAGGAGAAGGAGAGGGAGGAGGACGACGGTCAGGTGGACATATGTGAGATGTGCGCGTGTGATTGGCAGCGCGGGTGCGAAGCCAGTTAGTTATGGCACTGCGGATATGCAAACTGTGCGGTGACAGAGCTAATGGTGTAGGCTATGTGTTGCAGGCTATGTGGTTTGAGCGATGCGGTGATATATATATATATATACATATATATATGTATATATATATATATATATATATATATATGTACACCTCTTTATATATATATATATATGTGAAACAAATGTTTCAAGGGCGCTCGCCTTGGGAACATTCGGCGGTGCGTTTGGAACCGGGGGGTGGGCCCCCCCAACACTCGGCGCCGTCGATCAAAACCAGGGAGACTCCCCTCCCCCTCAAGCCCCCCCCCTCCCGACCCCCCCCCCCTCCCAAGGGGCGGGGGGGGGGAATTCCCCCCCCCCCCCGTTCGGCGCCGGCGCCGGCGCTGGCGGCCGCCAGCAGCGCCCACGGCGAGGACGCAGCGACGATGACCAGAGGCAGCCTAAGGGGGGAGGGCGGGGGTTCAAACCCCCCCCCCCCACTCCCTCACAAGAGGGGGGGGTTCAAACCCCTGGCCCCCCTTCGGCGCCGGCACTGGCGGCGGCCAACAGCACAGGCGGTGGCGCCGGTGAAGGCGGGGGACGCAGCGACGATTACCACCACTACCACCACCACTACCGCTACCACCACCACAACCGCCTCAAACAATCACCACCACCACCACCAACAGCACGACGCAACTACGCAACCACCACCACCACAACCGCCACCACAACTCACCATCACCACCACCACCACCACCACCACAACCACCACCACCACCACCACAAAAACCCACCACCACTACCACCACCACCACCACCACAATCTACCATGCCACCACCACCACCGCCACAACCACCACCACCACTACCAGCAGCAAAACTCACCACCACCACCACAAACCACCACACCACCACCACCACCACCACCACCACCACCACAACAAACGTCCACAAACCACCGCCACCCCCACAACCCATCACCACCACCACAAACCACCACAAACCACAACCACACCACCACAATCACTACCACCACAACTCACCATCACCACCACCACCACCACAAAAGCCCACCACCTCTACCACCACCACCACCACCACAATCTACCACACCACCACCACCACCGCCACAACCACCACCACTACCAGCAGCACAACCCACCACCACCACGAACCACCACACCACCACCCCTACAACCCATCACCACAACCACCACAAACCACCACCACCACAAACCACCACCACACCACCACCACACCACCACAACCACCACCACCACAACTCACCATCACAACCACCACCACAAAGACCCACCACCACTACCACCACCACCACCACAATCTACCACACCACCACCACCACCACCACCACCACCGCCACAACCACCACCACTACCAGCAGCACAACCCACCACCACCACCACCACCACGAACCACCACACCGCCACCCCCACCACCGCCACAACCACCACCACCACCACCTCCACAAACTACCGCCAAAACCATAACCCACCACCACCACCACAAACCACCACCACACCACCACCAAACCACCACCACCACCACAACCCACCACCACCAGCAGCACCACCACCACCACAAACCACCACCACACCACCACCAAACCACCACCACCACCACTCACCGCCACAACCTCCACCACCACAACAAACAACCACACCACCACCACAACCACCACCACCGCCACCACCACCACCACCACCACCCACCACCACTGCCACCACCGTCGTCCTCGTCGACGCTCCCCGCCACCGCCGCCCGCCGCCGAAAGCGCCGGCGCCGGCCCAATAATGGAAATCGTCGTCCCCGCCGCCGTCGCTAGCCGCCGCCGACGCAAGCGCAACGCCGGCCCGAGGAGAGGGAAGCGGGGGGGACAGTGGGGGGGTGGCGCGAACCCCCGCCCGGTCCATCCAGGGAGGGGGCCGGGGGGTCCAATTCCAACCCCCCCCTCCTCCAAGCGACCACAGAACGCGCTCTTTCTTACATCGGAGGTGAGGGGGTGAGATCGAAAAGGGACGGAGAGCCCCCCTGCCGGGAAATCGATTTCGGTTTCGTGTTCGTGCGTGCCGTGCGTGCGGCCGAGGCGAAGCTGCGTGGGCGGGCGAAAGGAAGGTCTCCTGTGACTGAGGCGCGGCCGGACCAAATGTCTCCCTTCCGGCAACCGGTGGCGCGCGGTGTTCCGCCGGTGTCCCGCTGTGGCTGAGGCGCGGCCGGACCAAATGTCTCCCTTCCAGCAACCGGTGGCGCGCGGCGTCCCGCTGGTGTCCCGTCGGTGTCCCGATGATGACGGTGATGATGATGTCGATGATGTTGATGACGATGACGATGATGATGATGATGATGATGATGATGATGATGATGGTGAGGATGGTGAGGATGGTGATGATGGTGATGGTGGTGATCCTGATGGTGTCCCGATGATGATGATGATGATGATGATGATGATGATGATGATGATGATGATGATGGTGATGATGATGATGTTGACGATGTTGATGATGAGGATGATGATGGTGATGGTGGTGATGACGATGGTGCCCCGATGATGATGATGATGATGATGATGATGTTGATGATGCTGATGTTGCTGATGATGATAATGATGATGGTGTCCCGATGATGATGATGATGATGATGATGATGATGATGTTGATGATCATGATGTTGTTGATGATGAGATGATGATGATAATGATATGGTGATGATGCAGATGATGATGATGATGATGATGATGGTGCCCCGGTGATGATGGTGATGATGAGGTTGATGACGATGCTGTTGATGATCATGGTGATGGTGATTATGATGATGATGATGATGATGATGGTGTCCCGATGATGATGATGATGTTGGAGATGATGATGATGATGATGATGATGATGATGATAATGGTGTCCCGATGATGGTGATGATGATGTTGATGTTGATGACGTTGATGACGATGATGATGACAGTGATTGTGAGTTCGATTGTGATATCGATAGTGAGATCGATAGTGAGACCGAATATGATATCGGTTGTGGGATCGATCGTGAGATCGATTGCGAGATCGATAATCAGATCGATTGCGAGATCGATCGAATGAAATAGATCGATTGTGAGGTCGATCGAGTGGGATCGATCGAACGAGACCGATAGTGAGATCGATAGTGATATCGATAGTGAGACCAATCGAATGAGACGTTGGTTCCTTCACCCCCCCCCCCGAACCTCCTTATCACCCGAAGGGTGGTCGTATAGGTATATACATATGTATATATGTATGTATGTACACATGTGTGTGCGCGTATGTGTGTATGTGTGTGCGTGGCGGCATGTGGTGCACGCTGTGTGGTGCGAGCTATGCGGTGCAGGATGTTCAGCGCAAACTGTGCGACGCACCTTGCGTCGTGCAGGTGTAAACGCAGCAACGGGAACTATGCGGCGTGAGCTGTGTGGCGCCGTCTGTGCGATGGCGTGTGGTGCAAGCCGTGTGGTCTAAGCTATTGTGGCAACAGCTGTGATGCAAGTTACACGCCCGTCTGAAGTAGGTAGACACATGAAGCAGGAAGGCGGATAAAGTAGATTGGGTTCGGGCCCGCCCAAAGAACAACAGCCAAACCGCATCGGTGATTGAAGTAGGAAGGCGATTGAAGTAGATTGGAATCTGGGAATCCAGGAGCGCCTACTTTCAACGACCGATGGGTAAGCTATGCGGCAACAGCTGCGATACAAAAGCTGTGCGGCCGCCCAGCGCGCGCGGCGCCCACGAGGCGCCCGCGGACGAGACCGGGCGGGCAGCACGCGAGGTCTTGGCTGACCCACCAGGCGCGCGAGGTGCCCACGAGGCGCCCACGAGGCGCCCATGAGGCGCACACGAGGCGCCGACGAGGCAGCGACGACAATGACGACGACGACGACGACGGGTGCATGACGGTGGTGACGATGATGTTGGTGACGATGATGATGGTGGTGGTGGTGATGAACATGCTGATGCTGATGATGATGACGATGATGATGCTGATGGTGGTGAGGATAATGGTGGTGACGATGATGGTGGTGCTGATGGCTATGACGATGCTGATGATGACGATGATGCGGATGGTGATGATGATGATGATGCAGATGATGATGGTGATGATGATGATGATCCTACTCCTCTCTGCGTGCCAGAGACCATCTTTGCTGCCTGGGGTCGAGGGCGATTGTCTCGCCGTCAGAGCAGGAGCCTCGAGACAGACAGAGCAGCAGCCAACATCATATGAGACTTGAAAGCGAAAGCAAGGTGGGAAGGAGGGAGGCTTGAGCCGCAGTGGTCGCGGCATTCAACACTGCAACGAGCAAAGCACTCAGGAAGCAGCTATATGATCTTATTCCTCTCTGCGTGCCAGAGACCATCTTTGCTGCCTGGGGTCGAGGGCGACTGCCTCGCCGTCAAGGCAGGAGCCTCGAGACAGACCCAGCAGCAGCCAACATCAGATGAGACTTGTACTTAGCATGCTTGCAACCCCTGGCCAAAGGCCGCCGGCATTTATTACTATCACAAAGCCAGCCTACTGAGCCTTGCATCGCGGAGATTATTAGCACAAGTCACGAGCCAGTTGGCACCCCACTGCCTGAATTGACGTGGGCATTTGTTCACGCAGACAGCAGGTTTGGCAAGAAACCGGCAATTACTAAAGCACCACTTGCCGCGAGCTTGACACGGAAGCCGAACGTTGAGAGCGGGAAACTTGGCCGCCCACACCCAGGAGTTTAGTCGGACGGACGCTGGCCCCTCCGCACTGACAGAAGTCCAGTTCAGCACTCTGCGAGGCCAGCGAGCACGCGCGTCCGAAAGAAACGAGGGGCGGGGGCGGAGACCTGCGGCAGCACTCAACAATTAAAGGGGCCATTTGCTGATGGCACTCGAGGATCAAGCTGGCGAGCGAACCACGCAAGGCCCGAGAGCCCGAGGCAGGAGCGGCCCACGCACCCAAGACCACGGACCCCATAAGCCAGCCAATGGTCCTCTGGCGCACCGCGGGTCGGGACCAGTCAAAGGCCTGATGCCTGCTCGGATCGAGACAAACGCTCGCAAAGCCCAGTGCGCGCCAGCGCCGCACAATCGGCCTAGAGGCGGCACCAAGACCGATGAACATCGAGCGAGGCCGCACCTGGGCGGCGGAAAAGGCGGCCGCCAATTGGCGGGTCAGATAGCCGTCTACCTGATCGTCAGAGATGGCCTCACTTGGCCACGCGACGCGCTGGCCCCCTGCACGGGACCACGAGGCGGGAATAGCGTACCCAGCGCTGCGCTCAGGTTCAGCGTCCCGAGGTAGGAGGCCACCCGACGACCGAACACCATCCGCACTGGCGAGATGCCGTTGAACTGCTGCTGGTGCTTCGTCCTCTCCGCGCACGGTCGGAGGGGGGCGTCGGAGATCCATCGGCCTCGATCCTGTCCTATGGGGAGAGCCCGCCTCGACACCTGGGTGCTGGGAGCCCCGAGCGCGACGCCGCGAAGCCGAAAGGCCTCCAACTGCCGCAGGTACGACGCCAAGGTGAGGAGGACAAACATCGCGAACGGCAACCGGCAGAGCGAGATCATCACGTCCACGATCGCCATCGCCGCGGCGCGCTGGACCGGCAGCCGCAGGCACGGCGGCCCTAGCCCCCCCCCCCTCACCAGAGCCTTGCAGGCCCTTGGGGGTGAAGAGCGAGGAGGTCCCAGTGCGGGCAGCAAGTGACGAATGGCTCCCATCGTGGCCCACGCCTACGCCGTGTCGGGGCCGTCTAAGACCAGGAGCGCCAGGAAGACCGTCAAGGTCACGACGCGCTCGCGGGCCGTCAACGAGGCGAGAACCATCCACAGGCTCCAGGTAACCAGCCTCGGGGCGAGCGCCAGGTAGCTCGCGGCGGCGCAGTGGGCGCAGGCCGAAAGCCCCAGCGCGCCCAGGCCCCCGCGGCCGAGCTCCGCGGCCGACGCCTGTGGGGCCAACGTCGGGCGAGCCAGCGCCCTGACGCAAGGCGGGCGGCTCGCGCGGGCCAGCCGTCGCTAGACCGTCTCCACTGGCGCAACCGCCAAGCCACTGCGGCCCCGCGAAGAAGCCCGACCGCGACGGGGCGTCCGACGGGTTGAACTCGGACGGGACCCAGCGCACGCATGCCCTGCACCCCGTGGCCAGCAATAGTGACGTGATACGGCGCAAGGGCCTCGTCAAGTTGGCGGCGCGACCTCGGCCTTTGCCTGCGCTGAGAGCCAGAGCCAAAGTGTCCACGCAAGGGCCCTGAACGCAGGAGGTGTCGAAGAGCGAACTCCAGAGCGTCACCCTCGGACTCTAAGATGTCCTTCCCAGCGCATCGACACTGCTAGAATGGACAACCTTCCAGTCGGGCTCCTTCAGGATCTCTCGGGGCACCTCGGTAAAGCCAGTGAGCCTCGCGCCCGCGTTCGCGGACTTCTCAGAGTTGGCGATGCCGTCCAAGACCCGAGACCCACCATGACCCACAGGCCCCTCAGGATGTGGCTTGATGGGGCACTCCTTCGGGCTCTTGCTGTGACCGATACCTACGCCAGGAGGGAGAGGCTCGACACCGTCTGGATCCACTGGGGCCCCTGCGAGGGCGTGACGACGAGCGACGATGGCGTCAGTGAACCTGCACCTGGCCTTCTCGGCGAGACGACCGATCTCGGCGACGACGGGCGCGGGGAGCTTGCGACGGCAGACCCCAATCCCATGCCCCGACGAATCGGACGCCGCGACGTCGGAGGCCCAGGGAAGGCACCAAGACGTAGCCCGCAACGGAAGCGTAGCCTGAACCCCCTGGGGCTCTCTGAGTACCCCGTCCCAAAGCTTGATGGGCTCAGAGGACCGACTCCTGGCAAAAGCAAAAGTGACGGAGATCCTGGACAACGTTTCTCGCCTGCTCAGCATAGCCCAAGTAATATGTCCGACCAACGTAGATAGAGCGCGAGGAGAAATCCTTCGGTGGCGCAGCACAGAACGGATGCCCAATCGCAGACGGGCGACGCGAGCGCAGGGCACCCTCATGGTTCCCCCCACTCCGTCGAACTCGAGGCCCGTGAAGATCATAGAGGCCCGCGCTTCCTGAACCTCATGAGCGGGAAGGCCACGACGAGAGACCGCGTCCGAGATGAGCCGCACTTTGCGATCGGCAAGCTCTTGGGGGCCCACGACCACACAGAAATTGTCGACATAGGCCGCGACCGCCCAGTCGTCGGGCAGCTGCAGCACAGTGGGGGAGGTGCCATCGACGATGAAGCGGCTCTCCTCTACCGCCGTGTCCTTCGTGATGATGTTGCACAATGCGCCCTGGCAGAAGTGCAAAGCCCAGTCCCACCCCATCGGCATTACCAAAATCTCAGGCACCACGTCGATCTCAAGCCCCACGCCCTCCAAGCGAAGCACCCGATTAGACGCGCACGGTAGAGTGAAAGCATGGGCAAGGTCAGAGGGCAGCTGCATGCGGGAGAAGGCGCACTGTATGTCCGCCGACGCCTTGTGGCCATTGATCTCGGGGCTGATCTCTACGCCCGCCCACGACGAACTCGTCGGCAGCTCGGTCCCTGCTGGCTCCACGAAAGAGAGATTTGCAATGCGCGCATCGAAAACCATCCGCAAACTCCCGCCCCTCTTGGCCACGAAGAACACCCCCACAGAGGGCTGCTCTCGGCCTTGACGAGGACGGAACCTGAGCATCCCTGCGGCATCCAACCGACGAAGGAAGTCAGCGTAGCGGTCGGGGCAACTCAAGAGGAGGGGGTCGACGTACAGCTTCGCCAGTCCAGACTCACGGCGCTTGGACTCGGCCACGGGCTCGGAGACCAGCATGCTCGCCCCCCATGGCCCTAGCCGGGACAGAGAGGCCGCGCTGCAGACATTGACCAACGGTGTAGGAGTCGTTCCCGCAGCGGGCCAGGACACAGAGTCCTTGGCATAGGGTCGAGCCGTGGCATCATCTTCACAATGGCCAGGTTTGTGCCGGAGCAGCTCTTCAAGGGCAGCATCCGAGGTGGCGTTGTTGACAGGCATGTCGGACGGCAACGAAAAATATTGAAATGGTTCGGCGACGCGGTCGAGCACCAGCCTCCGCGGCAGGTTAGCTGCGCCGTCGGGGGCTGCAACCTCTTGCCTCCCACTGCGATGGCCGTTGAGGGCATTCAGGCTGTCGATGCACTCGTTGGCCCAGCACCTCCAGGCGGCGCCGCGATCGCACCTCCGGCGCGAACGGCGAGACACACAAAACTCTCGACGACCATCGACAGCAAGCCGAGGTAGAGGGAAAATACCACGCAGGCGATCATCGGTAACGACCACCATGGGAAGCTGTGCAGCTCCTGGCCCAGGCGGTCCCAGCGGCCTCAAAGGCGGGGCCCACCGCTGGGACGTGGGGCTCCTGTGGCTATTGGCGCAACGCCCGCTCCTCGCGGGCCTTCCTGCGCTCTTTAGCCACCGCAGCCTCGGCTTTCGACGCATCCGCGATCCACGTGCTGAGGAGAGGGCACGCACGCACGTTGCCGCGGCTCTCCTGCGCCCCCAAGAACAGGTTGTTCTCAACCCTGTCGTCCAGCACGTGGCTCTTGTCCTTGTCCTTCTTGTCATTGCCCTTCAGCTTGAAGGACATCTCCACCACCTTTTCCTCCAGGAGCTGCAGCCGACGGGCCGTCATCTCCAGATGGGCCAGCTCGCCAACGTTCACCTGGTCGTAACACACAGCCAGCTCCAGGATACGGCAGAAGAGCGCGTGCTCCCGCGTGACGGGGTCGTCCTCCGCCATCTTCCACTCCGTCATCCACTTGGTATGCCACGCGGACGGTGAGGCCGCGTGGCGCTGGATGTGGGCACACACCCAGGCAGAAGTCCTGGGCCCTCGGACGGGCCAATCGCTCCAGTCGGTCGTGCTCTGGAGCAACGTCCCGTCGCGGAACTCGCGTCAGCGGTCACCCCTAGCATCGAGGCTCACGGCGTTGACGCGCAGGTCGGCGGGGTTGCCACCAGCGGCGAGCTCGGCCGCTGCGGGCACCCCGAGCGCCCCTCCAGCGGCCGCCGCGGGCACGGGGGCGGCCGGCAGCGCAGCAGGCGGAGCCACAAGGGCGGCCACGGCAGGCTCCGCCGCTGCAGGCGCCACCAGCGCGGGCCCAGCGGCGGCAACGGCGGGCGCAGCACCAGCCCCCGCCAGGGCCGCCACCAAGCCAGGCATCGCGACAGCGCCAGCTGGCGCCACGGGCGCCACTCCCGCACCCCCCGCAGGGACCACCGCGCGAGCAGCGGCACCCGCGGCGGGAGCGCCAGCGGCGGCAGGGCCCGCCGCGGGCGGGGGCGCAGGGTCGGCCAGAGCGAGACTGCCAGCAGGCAGGCCGCCCACGCTGCCCGCCGCCAGCGCCATGCTGGCAGGCGAGGCGGGGCGGGGCATGCCGTAGAGCACGATCGCCTCCTGGATGCCCGCCCACACGTCGACGGCCGACGACAAGGTCCTGAAACCGTACACCCGCAAGCCCGCTGGCCGTTCACCCTGGCCCGCGATCGTGATGATACCCTCGATGTCCGATCCCCGTGAGGAGTAATGACATAGACGGTAGTCCCAGGGCCACGAAGCAGGATGAGCCTTTCATGCCACACAGGCGCGCCCCCGATGCGATACTTCACCAAGGACCAGTGGAGCTGGTGAGCCATGATCACGCACTGATGGCCTTCTTGGCCCTGACCGCCCTTGCCTGTGCTCGCGCCTCTTCCTCGAAGTCCACCACGGGCCCCTCGGCGGCCGGCGGGCAGACGAGGCGGCTGGCCAGCCGCACGCCTCCGACGGCTCCCACGGCGAGCCCGACGGTCAGAGCAGCCGCTGCGTAGGCCGCGATGAGCCCTCCACAGGACGGCTCGGGCACCTGGCCGCCAGCGCCCGCGCAGACGCAGGCGGGGATGGCGGGACACGTCAGCAGCGGCGCGCACGCCCCGCAGCTCGGCGCGGCCGCCCGCGCCACCAGGGAAGCTCCCACCGCTTGAGCACCGTATCGCAGAATGTCTGAGAAAGACTGGGCGAGGTCCTGCATATGGGAGCTGGCACCAATTAAGACTTGAGCCGCAGTGGTTGCGGCACACAACATTGCAACGATCAAAGCACTCATCAAGCAGTTATATGATGATGCTGATGCTGATGCAGATGATAATGCTGCTGATGCTGCTGCTGCTGATGATGATGATGCTGCTGTTGCTTAGGATGCTGATGCGACGATGATGACGCGCCGTAGAAAGGCTGGCCGAATGCTGAAGGAAGGGGAGGGCCAAAATATCTTACGGCGTGACGTGTCTCACAGCGCGGCCCCCCAGAATCCTGGACCCCTCACCCACAGGGCCCGCCTCTCGTCCCGAGCCGCATATGCTGACGGCGCCGCTTGCCATCGCTCGGACGCCCATTCCCCGTGGGAGGAGGAGGAGGGGGAGGAGGAGGAGGAGGAGGAGGAGGAGGAGGAGGAGGAGGAGGAGGAGGAGGAGGAGGAGGGGGGAGGGGGAGGAGGAGGTGGAGGAGGAGGAGGAGGAGGAGGAGGAGGAGGAGGAGGAGGAGGAAGGAGGAGGAGGAGGAGGCATCGTCTGGCCTCGTGCGGGCTCCAGACGTCCTGCTGGCCCCAGGGAATGCGACTGCCCGAGCCATGCCACGGCCAGGAGGCGGGAGGGCTGCACTGGTGTTTGCGACCAGGGGGCCCCGTCCTTCGGAGACTTCGGCGACGTCGGCGACGCCGGAGCCGCCTCTGCCTCCGCGCCCGCCTCTGGGCCCTCGAGCGGGGCCGTGTCCTGCTCCCAGCCTCGGTGGCGAGCAGGGGGGAGAAGAGGGGTCAGGAGGAGGAGGAGGAGGACGAGGAGGAGGAGGAGGAGGACGAGGAGGAGGAGGAGGAGAGGGTCGTCGTCGTCGGACGGCGGCATGAGAAATGTGCTGTGACCCGAGTGATGCCACTGGCTCGGGAGGACGAGGGGTCAGAAGGAGGGGAAGGGGGAGGGGGCCCAGAGACCCAGCGTCGTGTTCTTGTGCAGCGCGGCCCCCACAGATCTAAGCCCCTTCCCAGGGACAGGCTCTTTATCCTAAGAGGTTCTTCGGGCGGCTTTGGGGCCTCCCGAGGCAACATTTACATCCCGAGGCAAATTCTACCTCCCGAGGCAACATTCACCTCCCGTCTCGATGTTTCAATGAGGCGAGGATGGCAGGGGAGTGGGACAGGGGGGCGGAAGATGAGTGGGGACGGAGGTGGGGACGAACGAAACGAATGTGAGGTCGGAGAGGAGGGATGAAGAGGATGTGGAGGAGAGGGAAGGAGAGGTATAAACGGCTGATTAGAGGGGAAGGAGGATGGAGAACAGGGATGGAGAACAGGGATTGAGAAGGAGAATGGAGGACACGAAAAGGAGACGAAGGGGATATTCTATTGATTGTTCGACTGCGGAGCTGCGTTTGCCAGCTGATACCGGATGAAGGGAAGAATCGAGGCGGAGGAATCGAGGCTGGAGGAAGACGAAGGAGATGACGGGGCAAGGGGGAGCCACGAGATGATGCGTGAGGGGGCAAGGGGGAGCCAAGAGAAGGAGGGATGAACGATGAAGGAGTAGGGAAGATAACGAGAAGGATCTGAACAGGAGCAAAGACGGTCAAGGATGAACTGCATGTCAAGCCGCCAACGCCGTGTTCCTAAATGCAAACGCTGCCGCATTCCGCCACCAGCTTACGGCAATCTGTGCTGCGCGGCGACGGAGGGCGAGAAAGGGAACGAGAAACGAACAGACGACGGCGAAGGCGCAGGCGGGAGGCCAGGGCTGGCGGAGCGAAGAGGAAGCGAGGAGGGACAGAAGGGGGGCGAGGCGGGAGGAGCAATGATGGGTGAGCGCATGGGAGTGAGCGAGGGGAAGGTAGAACGAGGATGAGGATTAGGAAATAGGGACTAATGGGGAAGCGAAGAGATGGGATGAGGAGAGGGCGAAGATCAAGGAGAGAGTGACCGCCGTCGAGGGAGGAACCCGAAGGAGGAGAAAGAAAAGAGAACGCAGAGGTAATGAGGATGGAGTAGGTTGCTGAGGAGAGAGAGGGGAACGAGGAGGCTCGGAAGGAGGAAGTGAAGAGAAGCGAGGCGGCCGTCGAATAGGAGGGAGGATGATAATCAAGCAAATGATGGCCCTTCCTGATCGTGGACATCCCATGCATGTCCACGATATTTTGACCCGACATGAACGGGAGATCTCTGCCCAGCCCTCGGGGCAGAGAGGCCCGCCAGCATCACGGCACGGGAACCCCACTACTTCGTGATGGCGAGGTGCCTCGGGAGTCTGACGGGGCCCAGGGACACACACAAATTCGCCGGCCCAACGGGCCAGAGGCGTGCTAAGATCTCCGGTAACTGGTTAACGATATTTCTAGTTCGCGCGCGCGGAGCGGCCCCTGGGGGCCCCTGGACGAAAAGTACCCCGGCAAGGTCCCGGGAGAAGCCACCAGAGCACTCCAGGGGAGGGCCATTTTTCGACACCCCTCACGAGGATCGTGGCCTCCGAGGGGAGAGTCGCAATCGACTACCCCCCCTCCCACCCCAAGAGGCCCCCAATAGCCCCCCACGAGGCCCTGGGGGCCCCCAAGACGCCGCCAAGGAGCCCCAAGAGGTCCCCAAGAGGCCCCCAAGAGGCGCTAAAGAGGGCTCCAGGGCCGGCGGAATGAGCGAAGCGATTAAATAAATACAGACAGATCCCAGGATTCCCCATCTGTTTCCATATTTGTTTTTGATTTTTGTCTTCCCCCCACTGCACACATTGTCGCATATTTCCCTGGGAATCGACGATTAATTGTGTCTGTGTTTTTTTCCCTCCTGAGAGTCGGGGACCCGACGATCACATGGCCCTGCCACTGGTGGCGGAGAACCGACTGGGCCCGACGACTTCTCGAGAGCAGGCAGCGGCCCCAGCGGCCCCGATCGCATGCGTCGCAGCGTGCAGGAGCCATCGACGCGGGCAGAAACCGTTGACGACAGATCTCTGGCGACAAAGGCTGCATGCGCGCCATGCGCGGCGGAGGAGGATCGCCACCCGCCTTGACTCGACACAGCCCGGGGCGGAGCCCCCACCACATGTGAGCTTCAGCGCATGCCGCCCTTGCAGCTGGAACTTCTTGCTGGTTGCCTGTCTTGGAGAAACTCAATCAGCCGTTCCTGGGTGCGCGCGATCGCAGTGGGATTCCCCGGTGCGGATTTCCGCCGTTAGCCAGCCTCGGACTTATCCCTTCCCTGAGATCGGGAAATCCAAGGCGATGACAATCTTAGGGATGCGCCCCAAGAAACTGAGGGAATTCCCAACGTCGTACCGAGGTCAGGTGATGCCAAATCTGTGGACAGGGATGATGGTTCAAGCTGCTGAGCTGGTCGTGCTGCTGCATGCTTGCCGTCGCCGCGGTCCAGAAGCCTCTCGTCTGGCGGTGGCGGCGTGCGCATCTCGTGCACATCACGGCTTCCCGAGCTGCATCGCGGCGCTGGCCAAACGCGGAGGGCCCCAGAGCTCCAATTGGATACGTGGAAGGCCCGCTGCTCCACCTCGCCTCCATCAGCCCGTGCCTCCTCTCGTTGGCGCCTGCGAGCAAGCACCTGCTCCGAAGCGGCCCGCCGCGCGACCCGCCCGCACACACCGCTGCAGCCCAACCGGCGCCTGCGGCTGGCCGGCCCGGCCGCGCGGCTCTCCGAAGCAGAGCCGCTGGCGCCTGCGGGCGGCCAGCTGCTCTGCACAAGGCTCTAGAGAGTGCCACTGCAAGACCCGGCCTGGGCGCCCGCGCACTGCTATCCGCCACCATCATTGTTTCCTCCTTCTCCTCCTCCTCCTCCTACTCCTCCTTTCTCCGCACTGCCATCCCACTTTCTTTCGCGGGGCCTACAGTCAACCCATCTGGTAAGGATGCGCAGCAAGGATGCAAGGGCCCTGAACGCCCATGCCGAGGCTCTTCGGGCGAGGTTGGCGATCGAAAGTGGTTGAGGAGGACCGAAGATGACCAAAGAGGCCAGGATGCAAGGGTACCTCTGGGAAGCCAAATTTCATTACGATGCGGGCTGACTGCAAATCAGGCCGCTGCTGCCCGGTACCTTGTCTTGTAGGCGAACCCTCCACAGCCCGCGCCGCCTCCTCTGAGGCGAGCGCCTCCGCTGCAAAAGATGAAAATGGATTGCTAATGAAAATCCCCGCTATAACAAGCAGGCGAGTGCACTCCATCGAACCGCGGCGCGTCACAGCCTCCATGCACCAGGCGGCTACAGAGCACCGTCCGTCCGTCCCTCCCCCCCCACCCGAGGAGCCTGACCGCGTCTCGGTCAGCGGCGGTATCTTCGTCCTCCAGAGCAGCCCAGAGCACTTGCCGATGGTGGCTTTGATGGCCTCGTATTGGTTGCCCTCCTCATCAATCCCCATTCTCCCGCCGCATGCTTCATCCTCTTCGGTTTGCTCTCCCCTTCTCCTTTCTCTCATCATCCTCGCCATCCTCCGGTCCTCCTCCCTCCTCCTCCCTCCTCCTCCTCCTCCTCCCCTCCTCCTCCTTCTCCTCCTCCTCGTCCGCCTTTGTCCTCCTTGAATCCGCCTTCTCCCTCCTTGGCATCCTCCATCACCTTTGAACATTCCCTGAGTCATCCACCAACTCCTCCTCCCTCCTTCTCCTCCCTCCCCCCTCTTCCTCATCCTCCCCGTTCTCTACTCCCTCTTCCTCCTTCTGCATCATCGTCGACTCATTCCTCTCCCTCCTTCTGGGCTCCTCCACCTTCGCTCTCACTCCTGTCTGCATCTCCTCTCCTTCGACCTGGACTCTTCGTTCTACTTCCCCCGTCCTTCCCTTCCTCATCCACCACCTCATGTCCCCGCGTCTCTACTTGTCTTCTCTCGTCCATCTAAGCTTTCGTTTTGCACGGGCCTTGGAAGGCCATGCTGACGATGTTCGAACTGGGCTGGCCAGCGAAAGTTGCCAAGGATGGGTAGAAGAGGCAAAGATGCACGGGGATGGACAGACCCCCCTTTAGTAAAACGTGGTTTAGTGAAAACGACCTGAGGCCCAAACCTGGCGGGCACAAGCCTGGAAAATAACGGCCACGGCGCCCTCTCGAGAACCGAAAACGGACAATTCACTAATCGACGTGTCACTGTTGGGGGTTCTATCCACCCCTGAGTTACCTTGGACAGTTGCTCAGCCTTCCTGTGCGCCTTGACTGTAGCCACTGCTCATCAATTCCACAGCTGCTGGCAAATGATGGATCCTCCCGGTTGCAAAATCTACGTGGTGACTTCCTCTAGAGACAGGGGAAACACATGACACCGTCCACTAACTCATGCTACCGCAGAAAACCAGCACTGGATCCCCATTATAAAACCTATACGCGAGCCCTCTCAATGCTCCTCCCTGCTCCTCGTCACCATCCCCTCAGTTTGCTCTTCCTCCTCCTACTCCTCCGTCTTCGTTTGTGGCCATGTTGGCCTCGTTGTTGAGGTCCCTGTCAAGCCTGTGGTGCGGCAAGAAGCGAAGAGGACAAAGGAAAATAGAGGGAAACAAGATAATACGGAACATGGAGAAGGAGGAGGGAGGAGGAAGTGAGGAAGCAGGAGAAAGGAAGGGAAAACGAGAAAGGGAAGAGGAGGGAATGTAACGGTGGGAAGCAGGGAGGATGACATGCAGCAGAAGGAGAGAGGATTGAAGTGGAGTAGGGGGATGAAAACGAATACGGAGGAGGAAACACTGAAAGATCAAGCAAGAGACCAGAAAATAGAGGGGGATGGGGGAGAAGATCAGTCCCTCCTCCTCCTCCTGTGGGCGTGGGTGTTTCAACGAGCTAGCTCCTTTAACTTCTCATGCAAACCCTGTCCCTGGCAATCTCCCCTGGACCTCGCCGCACCCCCTGGAATGACCGGCAACGCCCCACACCCCCACTTCGAAGACCTTGTGCGGACCCTGCAACACATTGCATAACGGCCCATAAGTTCCCTGGGGCCTGATCGGACAAGAACGAGAAGCGCCGATTTTGTCCGTTTGGTTCGTAGGGGGGGAAAGCAGAAAAGGATGATCGCGACGACACGGCGGCGGATGACGAGGATGATAGCGTGGATCACGGAGAGGGCAGCGAGGGGAGCTGGCGGACAACGAGTAGGAAGACAAGCACGAGGACGAGGAGGAAGAGACGGAAGAGGACAAGTACGAGGAACGAAGCGGAGGATGAGGATGAGGAGAAGAAGGACGACGACGAAGGAGGACGCTAACGAGCCCGAGGAAAAGGACGTCAAAGAAGCGGGGTTCTCTCTTTTTTTGAGGCCACTCGGCGGGCTGTTGGGGCCGTCTGGGGCTATCTTGGGACATCCTGGGGGCTTCTTGGGGGCCTGTCGGGGTCCTCTTGTGGGCTACTGGGGACTTCTTGGGCTATCTGGGCGTGTCTTAGATTGGGCTTCTCTGGGCCGTCTTGATGCCATCAAAAATCATTACAATTCGATGTTAGACACATGCGTCTCTTTGAAGATGTCCCGAACGACATCGCAACCTTAAAGGCCAGTACGGGCCGTCTTGAAGCCTCGCGAGAGCGATGCCAAGACGCTGCTAGAACCGCACTTGTCAAAACGATGATCCGCCGGCCCCCTTGCGGGGCCATCAGGTTCCGCGGATCAGGCTTGCTGCTCACTGCTCCAGTTCCAGTCTCCAATGTTATAATTCTATGTCCTGCTTCCTGTCTCGAGTTGTTGCAGTCCGCGCGAGGGGGGGAGCCGAACAAGGCCTGGTCACCTTCATCCGGGGGGAGCTCTCAGAATTTCCGGGGGGTCCCAGGACACGTGAAAAAAACATGAGACTCGCGTCCCCGAAACCGGAATCCCTTGAGGCCAGAACCCCTCGCAAATTACGCTGTGTTCGCGCTCCCGAAAGTGTAATTCTACGTACATTGATCCATGTTCGCGTCTCCGAGGCAGTACACTCTTGTAACTTACGCAATGTCTGCATTCCCGAAACCACGATCCTTGGTAAATTACGCAGTGTTCACGTCCCCGAAATCATGCAACCTTGTACAATACGCAGTGCTCGCGCTTTCGCGGCCACAATCCTTTGTAAAAAGGCCCCCAAGACAATACAAGAGGCCTCCGAGACGGCCCAAGAGTGCTCCAAGGCACCCAAGATGGTCCCAAGACCCTGTAAGCCCCCAAGAGCGCTCCAAGAGCACCCCCAGGAGGGGATCAAGAGGCCAACATCTGCGATGTTCCCTTAGGTTGTTGTTGGATGTTGGCACGCTCGCCTTGTCGGGCTTTCGACGCTCCAAGACGGCCCAAGAGGCAACCCAAGGCCGTCTCAAGAGGCTGTAAACAAAGCGCCCCAAGACGGTTCAAGAAGGCCCAAGCCGGCTCAAGAGACCCCCAAGACGGCCCCAAGAGTGACCCGAGACGGGGGACCTAAGCCCAAGTGGACCCCGTTCGGAGTTCCGACGCTGCTTCACGTCTCCGAGGCCTCACAACGTAGCTCTTGCATACCCCATTATCCGAGAACGGGGGCTGGCGGCAGGGTGCGAAGCCCTTATGGATATCAGATGTGTCATTGTTTGAAGATGTCCCTTGGGACATCGTCATTTTCGGCAGTCTTCAGGGCGCTGTTGGAGCCATCTTGGGGTCCTTTGAGACACTTACTTCGTACCAAAACACATCGGGGACCATATTAAAACGACGTTGGGAACATACCAATGTTGTGAGGATGTCCCCGGCGAAGAAACGACGTTGGAGATACAGCTATGTTGGTCTGCAATGCTCCTCCCAATTTTCTGAGGATGCCTCGAGCGAGAGCGTCGTTTTCAACATTACAGGGAGTTTGAAAAACAAGGATTTCTAAAAACAAGATTTTCTAATTCTGGATTGTCGCGTAGAGTTTGGAGCGCCGCGCCGGGGCGAACCACAAAACTAAGAATTTAAAAAAAAAAAAAAAAAAAAAAACATGATCGAACCACGAATCCGGAAAGGAATATAGAAATGTAAGGCATTGCAACATTTCAAAGACACCTGATTGGGCGACGGGCACATGCAATGCTGAATGGATCGATGATGATGTACTGTGCCGAGGACTGTGCTGTGCTACGCCGTGCTGAACTGCGATGTGCCATGCCGCGATTGTGCTCTATATAGCGTTGTGGATCGAGTCCTCCCTGGCATCCGAGTCCTCACCGAACTGATCTGGAGCGTAAGCTCGAGCTGCCTGAGCAGATGGTAGCTGCCCCAGAACTAATCGACAGAGGGAACATGCCAGGAGGACGCGCCGCGGAACGTCCCAAGGGACGCGCCAGGCGACGTGCCAGGGGACGTGCCATGGGCACGCACCGCGGGACGTGCCAAGGGGACGCGCTACGGAACGTGCCAATGGACGTGCCGAGGGACGTGCCAGGGGACGCGCCGCGCGACGTGCCAGGTGGACTCGCCACGGAACGCGCCAAGGAACGTGCCAAGGTGCATAGTTGAGTGTATCGATCTTGATGTACCGTGCCGACGGCTGTGCTGTGCTGGGCCGTGCTGAACTGCGATGTGCCATGCCGCGATTGTGCTCTATATAGCGTTGTGGATCGAGTCCTCCCTGGCATCCGAGTCCTCACCGAACTGATCTGGATCGTAAGCTCGAGCTGCCTGAGCAGATGGTAGCTGCCCCAGAACTAATCGACAGAGGGAACATGCCAGGAGGACGCGCCGCGGAACGTCCCAAGGGACGCGCCAGGCGACGTGCCAGGGGACGTGCCATGGGCACGCACCGCGGGACGTGCCAAGGGGACGCGCTACGGAACGTGCCAATGGACGTGCCGAGGGACGTGCCAGGGGACGCGCCGCGCGACGTGCCAGGTGGACTCGCCACGGAACGCGCCAAGGAACGTGCCAAGGTGCATAGTTGAGTGTATCGATCTTGATGTACCGTGCCGACGGCTGTGCTGTGCTGGGCCGTGCTGAACTGCGATGTGCCATGCCGCGATTGTGCTCTATATAGCGCTGTGGATCGAGTCCTCCCTGGCATCCGAGTCCTCACCGAACTGATCTGGATCGTAAGCTCGAGCTGCCTGAGCAGATGGTAGCTGCCCCAGAACTAATCGACAGAGGGAACATGCCAGGAGGACGCGCCGCGGAACGTCCCAAGGGACGCGCCAGGCGACGTGCCAGGGGACGTGCCATGGGCACGCACCGCGGGACGTGCCAAGGGGACGCGCTACGGAACGTGCCAATGGACGTGCACCGCGCGACGTGCCAGGGGGACTCGCCACGGGACGCTCCGCGGAACGTGCCAGGCAACATGCCAGGCTGCAATGCTAAGGGTATCGATATTGATGTACCGTGCCGAGGGCTGTGCTGTGCCTGGGCGACCTGGACACGTGAAAACACGCGTTTCGCTCAAGACGTTGTCAGCACATCCT